CAAATAGATAATCACTCATGTGTGTGCACGCATGCATTAGTGCACGCACACACTCACACACCCCTTCTCATATTCTGAAAAATTGGTCTTGTTGCTATGTATTTATGTAGATCTGTGTTGTGCTTGACTTATGCAGATTGCCGCGAAAGGGTCTGCAACACTTTCGTCATTCATCTTTGGGGGAAATTCATTTATCATCATCTTCCTCCCCCTGCTCTTCCACTTTTTCTTCTTTTAAAGGCAAATCTTGAAAAATGATTCTTCAGACCTCTAGCACTTAGTCCAAGATAAAAACATGTACCTCCGGAATGGGGATAAGACACTGAGAGATGCTCAGAGGCACTGTCTTCTTACTCTATCCATTCCCATGACTGCGTTTTGGTGGGTTGCGACTCCATTTACCCCTGGATGGCACACCTTCCCATACTATCCCATCCTGTGGTTTGCTTTTTCTTCTTTTGTACCATAATGTCTTCAAGCCTGGCATAGTTCCTTAGAAACCTACCTGTACTATATGTATGCTGGGATGCTTTTTGAAACATTTCTCAAATATTTGTATTTGATCTTATAGGTGGTACAAAAGTGTCTCCAGGATTATGAATGCCATGGGCCATACATTCCCATTTCATTATTGTTGGAAACCTTATATTGAATTAGATCGGGGTAGGCAGAGATGCTCCCAGACCCTTCTCAAGTCCCTTCTTTTTCCAGCATAGGAAAAATGGATTGCAGTTCCTGGAACCCCGCAGGAGTGGAAATTCAGCATTTAAATACAGTGGTGCCTCGCTAGATGATGATAATCCGTTCGACTGAAATCGCTGTTTAGCGAAATCATTGTCTAGCGAAAAGCATTTCCCCATTGGAATGCATTGAAACCTGTTTAATGCGTTCTAATGGGGAAGAATCGTCATTGTCTAGTGAAGATCGGCCATAGGAAAGCCGCTTTGCGAACTGCCGATCAGCTATTTAAATTGCTGTCTTGTGAAGCTTAGGTCCCGAAAACTCCTGTTTGCGAGTGCAGAGGGAGCTGTCAAAATTGTCGTCTAGTGAAAATTGGTTTGCGAAGCAGGGATGAAACATTGTCCAGCGAAATTCCCCCATAGGAATCACTGTTTTGCAAATCACTATAGCGATCGCAAAAAGCCAATGTCTAGCGAAAAAACTGTCATGCGGGGTAACTGTCTAGCGAGGCACCACTGTAGTCAGATCCTTCAGCACCATTTAAAACTCCAAAATACAATTTAAAAAAAAACTGCAAGTGGACAGCTAGCCCCTACCCATTTTCCTTTTCGCCTGGCTTTTGCAGCCTCCAGAGAGGATCTTGGGAGCAAAAAATTGGGACTCAGTGTCACCAAATGTTCTCTATCCCTTGGACCAGATAAAAATTTACCGGGGTGGGATGGGAAAGGTGTCCTTGGTAAAAAATATGTTGCGTTTTCTAGTGGCAGAGAATGTCAGTCTAGAGTCACTTGTTTTGAAAGCATGAAATCAAATTGCTTCAGTTGAAGGTAGCATTGGACTGAAGCAGGATGACTCTAGTAATGCTTCATGTGCTGTCAGTAAAACATGATAGGAAAATATTCAGAGAACTGTTGTACGATTGGACGTTCCTTATATATAATCCAGCACATTTTTGAAGTGGCTTCCTCTTCTTTGTATACTTTTCTTTGCACAGAGAAGATTGTTTTCTTACCCCCTCAGCGATATGTCAAGGTCGGAAGAAGCTCTGTAGCACGCAATACTAGGAGCTTCATGCAGCTTTTATGGGAGCGTGGCCTTGGAAGTGTCACCTACAATACACTTTTTTCTCTTTTGAAGCAACTGCTTCTTTTATTTTAAGGTTCGCTTCTTTTCTAGGACTGTCTTTTCATATTCATATCAGCATAGGTGGTGGGGGAGACAGCGGAGGGAGAGAAGCCAAGCACTAAAATAAGATAGCTACTTTGCAGGCTAACCTGATTGAAGGATGCTATATTTCTTGGCAACCACGTATTTCATAGCAAAGAGGATTCAGGAGTTATTTAACCCCTTTGTTCTTTGGAACAAAGAAGAGCACTGCCACGTGCCAAGAAATATTTCCTGAGATTTAATTAAATTGAGCGCAACGTGCCATTCTGAATTTATATTTCTTTCAACAGCGTGTGCTTGTTTTGCTTTTTCTTCTTTATAAATATCAGGAATTCTTGTCTTTTCCTATGTTTAAATACGCTGACCCTGTCTGCAACTGAGCGGTTCAACAGAATCTGATGTAATATAGAATTGTTCATGTGCATTTTGTTGCTGGGAAATGTTTCCATTTCTGATACGTAGGAAGGCAGTGATTTGATAAGAGTCATTGACAGAGCACATGCTTTCCATACAAAAGAACCCAAGTTCAACCTCTGAAAAACCAGGGTCCTAACCAGAGATGAACACAAACCAAACCACGAACCAAGAAAAATTGAGCTGGTTCATGTTTTGGTTCACAAACTGGTTTGAGGATCCCATTGTGTTGAAGCAAAATGAAGTGCTGAACTTTTTTTTCCCCTCTTGGTGCTCTGTTTGTTCTGCAACAGTGGATGCCTGTCCATACTCTTCCCATTACCACCATCACTTCTCTACTTGGTCCTGACACCACCGCCACCATCAGAGACAGCACGCCTGGTTTCCCTTCCCAGAGCTGGTCCTGCTGCCTTCGTGCACGTGCCCGCCACCCAGCTGATAGCATTGGGTCGGCTCGTCGAAGCCAGGACAACTGCTTCTCAGGATTGTGGTGGGCAGCAAAGGAGGCAGGAGGTGTTAGGTCCCTATCTAGGCATGAGCCGAAAAAAATGGACTGTGAACTGGTTTGCTTTTCCAGAGCTTCATGGAGATTTGTGGTTCGTAGCTAGCCTTAAACAATCACAAACCACCCATTTTGAGTCTCCAAACTATGGCCTGTGGGCCACATCTGGCCCGCCTTGCCGTTTTATATGGCCCTTTTCCTTCAGCCTGTGTGTGGGCGGGTGGATGGGCGGGCAGGGGCATGTGTGGGCGGGCAGGCATGTGTGCATGCAGGTGGCAGGCGGGGTGTGTTTGTGGGGGCCGTGAGTGTCCAGGAGTGGGGGGCGCACACACATTCTCCTGTTTGCTTAGTCCTCAAATGTGATGAAAATATCCTGTGTGGTCCTCATGGTCAGAAGTTTGGAGACCCCTGTCCTACACCATAGTGAGCTGCCACAGATGCTGGCAACTGTGCTGGTGGGATGAACTTTACTGCCTAATGAATTTTATTGATTTATTTTATTTTATTGTTAAACTGCTCCATTACTGCAATGCACTATTCTGGGTGGTTTACACCACAATAAGAATGAAATTATAAATAAAAGAGTCAGAGAAATAAAATACCAAGAGGCGTATTGCCCTGGTAACAGGCAGGACATGAGACATGGGATCAGGCAGGGTCGCTTTGGACGGCCGCTGTAAAAAGCAACATCTTCAGATGCCTCCTAAACATTAGGAGAAAGGGAACTCCACCGGGAGCTGGTTCCAGAGAGTTGGTGCCACAGTGCATTTTGGCAGAGGTAGTAGGAACATCACTGATGGTGCGGGCAGTAGTGCAATGGTTTCCAGTATTGGATCTCCAGATGTTTGTGGGCTAGAACTCCCAGAAGCCTTCACCACCAGTTGTGCTGACCAGGATTTCTGGGAAATGTAGTCCAAGACCATTTAAGGACCCAATATTGGGAACTACTCATTGCTCTAGTGAGTTCAAGTGGGTACTTGAGTTCAACCCGCCCCCTGGGAGGTTGTCCACTGTTGATGTAGAGAATAGAGGTAGATGGGCCCCTGGATTAGCTTCATGCAAGACAGATTTGTGTCAACACCTGACAATTACACAAATCTGTGCCTGGCTTCTAAATGTGTAAGAACTCAGGCAGAGGCTCTGAAGTGATATAAATACTCATGTGTAAGAACTCAGCTGAGAGGCAGAGGCTCTGAAGTGATATAAATACTGCTTTTGCCGTCTTTAAATGAAGGATGTCTATGTGGCAACCTGTAGTACATTCTGGCTGAAATCCTGTTGCTTAGCATAGTGTGTCATAACTAGAATAGGCCCCAATAGATCAGTGAAAGCAGTAGAGGAGTCGACTCCTCAAATCCCTACTGATCCAATGGGTCTATTTTAGTTGCAGTTTAATAGCACTAAGCAACAGGATTTCAGCCTCTGTTCGTGTAAGGCAGGGAGCATAATATGTAGGTATACATAGGCATCTCCCTCTGCAGCCCCTCATGGCAGCAGGACATTCCTTCCTTTTTCCTGTTCAAGTGATATTTAGAGTTGAAGGGAGATTCCAGGCTTCCAGAATTGTTGAGGGACTGGATCAGATAAAGCCTTTCTCAATCCACAGCAATCTTGCTTCCAAACATGTTGCTTTTCCACCATTAAAAGCCAAGGCATTGTTACAAATACATGAATGCAACCCTCATTTCTTCAGCTGATTCTAGACATTCTCCTCAGAGCCCCCATAGACTCCACTATCCTACAGGGCATGGTTGGGGATCCAGGACTGTCAGTTCCTCTTCTGTACAAGGTATTCCTCCCGGGCAGATATTTAATGTTTTTTTTTTTAAAGAGAAAGACAATATTTACACAGAACCTAAGATGGGCTGCCAGTTATCTCCAATAATGGCTCCCCCTCCTGCCATTTTGGGTAATTTTGGAGGTTAGCGGAATCCCTGGTGGTGGGGTTTGCTCCTGGACCTCAAGACATTCTTGTGCCTGCCACTGTTGAAGTAACATATCCTCTGCATACAAAGAGCCCCAGATGAAACCCTTAGCATCTCCAGGTTGAGTTAAAAGAACTACTGCTAGGAAGTCTGGAAAGCCCCTGCCACTGAATTGAGACAGTACTGAGCAAGATGGGTTAAGCGATCTTGTAAGGCAATTTCCTGTGTTGATGGAGAAATGACTGAGAAACAAAACAGAGAGAGTGTTTTTGCTTGGCATTAAAATCCACCTATTTTGATGACTCTCCCAGGTAAAAGTGATGGTGAGAATTTGCCCGTCGGATGGAACGCATGACACGTCAGAATCCATGTCATTTCTGAAAGTGGACCCACGGAAAAAGCAGATTACGCTTTATGACCCATCCACGAGCAGTCCTTCCAATGCAGGCCACCGAAGAGGAGCTGTAGCCGTTCCAAAGATGTTTGCCTTTGATGCAGTGTTTCCCCAGGATGCTTCCCAGGTACAAGAGCTAAGCATATAATGCTAATAATTTGGGTGGCTGCCATTTTAAATTGAGCAAGAGAATTCTTTGCAGCTTTTAGGTTTTCCCCCCCTTTTGAATTGGTTGGTTTAATTACTGGGAAGGCATGCTAATTAATAGACAGTTCGCAAGGTCTCACGCTGTTTTAATTTAGCCCAGATGTGAAATTAAGAAGCAATATCTACGGAGATAATTCTGCTCAGTGAATACATTTGCCCAGCACTGCTTTCCTGCTATTTAAAGCAACACATGCACAGATTGTGACTCACTGTTGCACCTTACGGAACAATCGTGCTGGCCTTATATCTTGGTTTTGGCAGAATTTGTGTGCTTATACGTGGCAGTTCAGGTGTTGTTTTAGATTTGAGTGTTTAGATGAATGGGACCAGGAGAATTATTTGCAGCTTTTAGAGCAGCGGTTTTCATACTGCATAGTTTGTCCCAAAATCATGGCAAATGCATTGCCTCAACCTGGAAGCTAGGGACAGAATCAGAATCCATAAAGGAAGGGAGAAAGTAGAATGGGAAGGAGGGTGAATCATAAATAGAATCATAGAAATGTAAAGTTGAAATGGACCCACAAAAACACCTTTGACAGATGAGCATCGGCAATCAAAGACTGTCCACTATTTTCCTGGGTACAGTACTCTATTCTGCCATCAAATAGGTATAACCATCAGGAAGTCTTTCCTGATGTTCCATCTTTGTTTATTCGTACTTTGAATCATTTGGTTCAGATCTTAATCTCTAGAATGGCAGATCCGTCTTCCTTTAAATGGGCTATCATATTACTGCTCAGTCTTTTCTTCTCCAGGCTAAACTTATCCTGTTCTGTCAACCTTTCCATGTAAGGCTTGGTTTCTAGACACTTTACCATCTTCATTGCCTCCTCTGGACATGTTCCAGCATGTTGATACCCTTCTTAAAAAGATGAGGTAGAAGACAAGGAACAGTTCCAGAAATCAAATGATACTTTGACTCTGATATAGGCACCAGGGTGTGGTAGCCCCTAACTAAAGGAGATGAACTAGCTTAGATTGGAGAAATTACCTCTTCAGCCTGCAGCCCCCAAATTCAACACCAGCATTGTTATGGCCATGTAGTCCAGAAAAGTCACTTCACCAAGTTTTGGAAATTGACTACAGACTGGCTAGAGTAAGGTATAGCAGGAACATTTCAAGTTATAGTTAAGAGTAGCAGGTCTTCTCTCCTCCACAGAGTTGGCTTTGAAATGAAAATTCATCGGTTTTGCTTTTGTTGCATTTCTCAAAAGTATTCCTGTATTTTCTTGTTTAATATTGGATTGAAACCTATTACTGTATCTTTCTACATTAGCATTCTTATTTTCCCCCGCGCACATTAAGTGCATTTCTTCACACATTTAACTAAGGTAGACACTTGTTCACGCATTTTGTCTACTTCATGCTTTTGTTCTCATATTTTTTCCAGTTATATGTAGTTTAACATTATTATGGGCCTTCTTTATTTTCCACAATGGCATCAAAGCTATGCATGTGTCTGAGAAGTATCAGGCACTGGAAAAATATTACATCACTGTAGATTGTAGGAAAATACTTACCCATCCCTACTCTGTAAAAAAAACATGTACAGAGAGGCTTCCTTTTAGTAGCTATGAACAGAAAGGAAGCAAGCATTACGTACATTTGAGTACAAATCTTAAATCTGTGATTTAAACACTGAGAAACGGAAGGAAGGAAGGAAGGAAGGAAGGCAGGAAGGAAGATAATATGGCAGAATACAAAGGAAGGAAGGAAGGAAGGAAGGAAGGAAGGAAGGAAGGAAGGAAGGAAGGAAGGAGTTTATGATTTAGACTGATTTCAGTCAGTTGTCCAATTGGATCAAAACCTCATTTGGAATCGATATCTGACTCTCAAAATATTAAGCATTTGACCAGTTGGAGTATTTTACTTGCTTTAAAGATGAGTATGTCCAGAACATTTGGTTTTTGACTTCTAAAGAAATAAATATACTTAGAACACAAAGCAAGCCAACCTCCTTCTACCCCTTTCACTTTTACAGGTGTTCTTATTTATTGTGATTTAGATTCTGTGGTTACAGTAAAATATTTTTTCCAGCTATTCTGGTGGGTTCACATATCCTTTGGAACTGTAGTGGAATGACAGCTGACCAGTGCTATATTGCATACAGGGCAGGTAGGGTCAAAATACTGGCACATTTTGATTAGCAGGGATGATTACATCATTTGCACCTATCTGCTGAATGTCCTCATTCCCTCTTGAGTTGAGCTGCCTTTCACAATGTAGCTGAGACAAAAGATTTTTTCCCCCCAGTGTAGATATATCCTTAACCAATCAAGACTGGGAAGTGGAGACAAGCAGTTGGTCAAGGACAATGTTTGTTTTACAATGCTTGAACTTTTAAACCATGGTCAGGAGACTAGGAGCACACTGTAACATCGTGGTCTCCTTCTTTGTCTGCTGTGAATTTCTCAATCTCTTCCCTAATACGGTTGACTTTCATTCCAGGGTATAATTACATGGGTTTTTCAAATAAGCATGTAATAAAAAGATACCCAGAAAACCAACCCTGGTCTGCAACTTTACCAAGATATGAAAAGTAGGCTTAAAAGTGGCTTGTAAATTGAAGGCATGTTGTTAGCATTAATTGTGGTCAAGACTGCAAATTATTGGAAGCCAGATTTTGAAATTAGCTTTCAAATGCTGTTTAGAAAGGAAGTTAGCTTCAGCCATAAGATATATGTGACTGCAACTTTAACCATGGTTAATAATACCAGACGAAGGATGACAAAATCGTTTGTGTCTGGAAAGAGAGGCTAGGGTTAATTTATTTTACAGTGGTGTCTCGCTTAACGATGATAATCCATTCCAGGAAAATCGCCGTTAAGTGAAAACATTGTAAAGTGAAATAAAAAACCCAATTGAAATGCATTGAAACCCATTTGGTGCGTTCCAATGGGGTAAAAACTCACTGTCCAACGAAGATCCTCCATACGGCGGCCATTTTCGCTGCCTGTATAACGAAGAATCCGTCCCTAAACACAGCGGGGAGCCATTTTAATTACCAGGTGGCCATTTATAAACCACCAATCAGCTGTTTAAAAAACATCGTTTTGTGAAGAATCGGTTCCCGAAGCAGGGAACCAATCATCGCAAAGCGAAATTCCCCCATTTAGACCATTGTTTTGCGATCGCAATTGCGATCGCAAAAAGATCGTCATAAAGCGGATTCGTCGTAATGCTGGGCAATCGTAAAGCGAGGCACCACTGTATTTTATTTTACCCCACCCTTCTCCTTAAAAAGACTCAACATGGCTAATCTCTGACTATGGTTAAGAGACTGAAGTATGTCATCCACACCAAACCAAGACACTTGGTGGTGAGAATGTACTGTTTGTTTAATGGCCTCCTGTCCAACATAACACTGGCTGGAAATGGTGCACTGATGAGAAAGCCATGAGAGAAGTACAAGAGCAAGCTTTAGTGACCCGCTGTTTGGTTTTGCTATGATTCTGTTTCATTTGAACTGAAAAGGTGTTCAAAGAAAAAAAAGAGTATGGCCAAAGTACAGGATGTACAGAGGAGAACGAGAAAGTGCATTAAGGGTCTAGAAATCAAACTCTGTGAAAAACAGTTGGGGGACTTGGATATATTTTGCCAGAAGAAGAGACAATTGGGGAGGGGATATGTCAGAACTTTGTATGGAAGATGGAGCAAGCATGTTTTCTGGTACTCCAAAAGTGAGGCTTGAATCAATGGGTTGAAATGACACATAAGGAAATATTAGTAAATGCTTTTGGCAGTCAGACATAGTACACCAGAGGGTGGCGAACATTCCCATATTGGTGTTTTTAAGCATAGGTTGGATAACTATCCGTCAAGATGGCTTTAGCCATGGATTTCTGGGATGAATGACCTGGCTGTTGAGTGTACCATCTAATTCTGCAATTCGGTGGCTGAAATCCTATTGCTTTCTTTTGCATGTGGAATGCACAGAGTGTAGCATTCAACCTGTCAGTTATTGCAGCCTAGCTGGGATTCTTGAATGCAGGCCTACCCAGGGGGCAAACGTCCCCCTAACAATCCTAGGGCAGCTTGTGATTTGCCAGCTAGAACCAACTGAATTTATGCATTTGCTTTCCATCTGCGTGGCAATACAAGAAGGTTTCGGACAATGATTCTGTGTGCATTTTTCCCTTGGGAAGATGTGCATTCTATCCATCTTGGGGTACCTTGTATGTCCCCCCAACAGTGAGATATAAAAGTGTGTGAAGAGGAAACACAAGTGACTCATACCCCTGGGGACTGTACCAAATACAGTGGTGCCTCGCATAGCGAGGTTAATCCGTTCCGGATTAACCTTCGCTATGCTGAAGCATCGTTAAACGGTACAGAAAAGCCCATTAGAACGCATTAAACATGGTTTAATGCGTTCCAAATGGGCCAAATACTCACCGTTTAACGAAGCTTCGTAATGGCCGGCAGCCATTTTCGCGCCCTCGCCTCGCTTAACGAGGGCGCGAAAACGCTGCGGGCGGCCATTTTAGGCCATTTCCCGGCTTCCGGCGTTCTTACAAATAAGGTAAAACAGAAATTAGTTGTTGTGGGTTTTTCGGGCTCTTTGGCCATGTTCTGTAAAAAAGAAATTGTTCATAATGTTCTTTTGGGCTTCTTAGGCTAAAATCTAGTAGTGCATTACAACTAGAGTAGGACTATTGAATCAATGGGACTTACATAGGTGTTGACACATAAAACCCTGCCTGATTCAGTGAGCCTACTCTCATTGTAACTTAGTGCTGGATTTCAGTTGTTCATTACTCTTCCCCTAAGCTGACTTCTTTCTCGTTGTGACTTACTGCTGGATTTCAGTCGTAGGTTCATTACTCTTCCCCTAAGCTGACTTCTAAGAGACCTCCTTTGCAGCAAATCTCCTGCAATTTCTAAGGAGGCATGGCTGAAATATTATATTAGTTCTGTGCTTCAGTGGATTGCATTTCCTTTGTTACCAGAATCATAAAATTGATACTCCATAGGGGGTGGGCAGGATAATGGGACGGGAAGCTATTGCTGGCTTATATAGTAGCTTTTATTAGACAAAAGAAATGGAATATACGCCCTAAAATAATATGACTCGTGGTGTGAAATGTGCAAAAACACTGTATTCAAAATTAGCATTTTTCATATGAGAGGACTGTAAAGTGCATACCGACACATGATGTGGTTTCCCACCCTGTCTTCTAGGCTGAGGTGTGCTCTGGAACGGTAGCGGAAGTAATCCAGTCTGTCGTGAACGGTGCAGATGGCTGCATCTTTTGCTTTGGCCATGTCAAGCTTGGTGAGCTCCCAAATTCATTACAGTTAATTACTATGTCAGCCTGGTAATTACATGCTGTCAGCTCCTGGAACAATAAACCTGGAGTATATGAATAGATTAGAATTTCTTTTTAATTAGCTTTGCAAACTTCTGCTGCTTTATTTCTGCACTGGGACCTTAAGTTGTGTATGTCTGTTCTTAAACAAAAGGCATTTGACAAAAAAGGGGGAAAGGCAGCCACGGAGATCCTTCTGTCTATATATCTGTGCATAAATGTCTTTAGGACTTAAGCTTCTACAGTGCCAGGTGTGACAAAATTCAAAAGATTGGAAAGGCCTTGAGAAATTAATTAGCTTTGGGCCGAAAAGTTAGCCAAGACAGAGAAATTAATTAACTAAATATCAGAGGATTAATAATGAAATATGCAAAAGCCAATTTTTACATCTGTTCTTCTCCATTTGTTTGCTCCAGTGTGTGGCATTAACTATAATCAAAATGACATGCTCAAACAGGTTAGTTTTTTTTCAGGACCCCACTTGCCTGTTCTAGCAGGCCGGGGGACATCTGCTCATTGGCACTTTGTACCCTCTAGTCGCGCAGGGGTACTCCGTGCAAGATTTGCAAGAGTAGTTTGGGTGGTAGAGTTGATAGGGTGCATATGGGTGTGTGTATGTTATGTGCCATCAAGTCGGACTAATCTACAGTGACCTTAAAAGGGCTTTCAAGGTAAGTGAGATACATAAAGGAGCAGTGTTACTATTTCCACACAACCCCCTGTAAGTTTCTATGGCCAAGTGGGGAACTTAGGTTTCCTGAGCCTGAATCTGCCACTCTGTGTCCACTACACCGCACTGGATATTAGTACAGTGGTGCCTCGCATAGCATTCGCTCCATTTAGCGACGAAATCGCTTTGGGATGGACTTTTTGCGATCGCAAAAGCGATCGCTTTGCGATGTTCCCTATGGGGGATTTTTGCTTTGCTATGATCACAGGGAAGTGATCATCGCAAAGCCCCCATTTTCACACAGCTGATCGGCGGTTTCAAAATGGCCACCGGGAAAAAAACATGGCCGCCCACTGTTTTTTGGGACGGATTCCTTGCTTTAGAGGCACCGAAAATGGCAGTGCTATGGAGGATCTTCGCGCAACGGTGAGTTTTAAGCCCATAGGAACGCATTAAAGGGGGTTCAATGTGTTTCTATGGGCTTTTTAATATCGCATAGCGACGTTTTTGTTCTGCAGTGATTTTTGCGGAACGAATTAACATCGCTAAGTGAAGCACCACTGTAGAGTTAAATGGGAAAACCACATTCAGAACTTGAAAATTGTTTCAGATTCTCGTGGGGGCCATTGTAACTACCTCCCCTTGGATTGCCATTTGGCAAGGGCAGGAATGGGACAGAATTTTGTCTCTGCCAGTGAAGTAGAGCTCATTTTGCAGAGGAGGACATAGATGCCAAGGGAGGTCTGTGGCATGCTTGGTAAAAGTTCCTAGGGTATAAATCTATCGCTGGCACCATCATCCATTGGTAGAATTGTCCCAGACAGGTTGGGTTGGAGGTGACTTTGGGTTTTCTGGATCCCTTTCCTTTTGGAAGCCTTCCCTCCCTGCCTGCTCTGGATAGCATGACTTTGGAATAAGTGAGCTGTCTATTTCTCATGACCCTAAGACCTCCACTGAGGCTTGTTGTACCCCTGTCAAGTTGGGTTGCAGGATGAATAATTAGGAAAGAGAGAAAGATTGACTCCGCACGGTTCCTTGAGCCATCTAAGCAGGCATCTGAAGAGGTTTGTTCTTCTCTTCCCCATCAGCAAGACATTTGAGGAAGGCGACAACTGCATTAGAGACAGTTAGTCACCCGAGAAAAGTTTTCAGCCTAGCAAGATAGAGACAGCAGCCTCTTCTCTCTCTGCTCGCTTTTCATTTCTGAGGAAAGACAACACTTTGCTTTGGACACCTATGCCTTTCTTATCGGGAGCTCCACAGGTGAGGAGGTCTCCCATGAGAAGATGTACCTGATGTGGCATTCCAACCACGGCCCCAATAGGCTGAAATAAGATAGGAGGTGGTTCAGAGGGTTCAGCACCTGGGAGAGCGCCAGATGAGCACCTTGCTCTACTAAGATTGGAAGCCCTTCTCTACCAATTGGTCAAGACTTCTCTTCCCAGGCTTTCCCATTTGATGGGCTGTTTGTGGCCCTGGAGCTACCTCTGGCTCTCCAAGTCTGCTCTTACTGCAGCTGCCCACACAGGGCGTGCTTCTTGTATTGTTGCGCTAGCTCTGAGGATTGTGTAGCTCTTGAGAAAGGGTATCTTGCCCCATGGCAGGAACTAAGTGAAGGGCTGCCAATGTTGGCCTGATCTTGGGCATAAAGGTCTTAAATTCAAGGATCTGAGGTTTTTCAGGATCAGGATGCTCAGGGACTTCAGTGGTGTTGGGGCCTGATGTCTCATCTGCTGGCATCCCAGTTCCTCAGGTTCTGGGTTCGAGCAGCTGTAGTAATCCTGAGTCATGACAGGTGTTATATGCATGGTGGGGCAGACTGTATTCTACCTTCTCACACAAATCTCTTTCCACCCTCCTCTTCACTCGTGAGTGGACTTATGTATAATTTCTCTAGTGCTTCACCTGTTAACCAGGTGTCTCTTTACGTGACGCCGGCAGGATACACTATGCTGGTCAACAGGGCCTTTTCTGTGGTGGCCCCATCCCTACCCTAAGATCTGTGTCTGGCTCTGTTACTAAAGTTTGGGTAGTTTCGGGCTGTTTTTAACTTAATGTAAGCACCTCTTTTACTGCCCGCCCCCCTTTTAAAACACACACGGACGTTAGTTATTTTTACACTTACTTACAATTACTCAGTTATAACCACTTCTTTAATTAACTATGTTTATATCCCATTGTTTACAATTTCATCTATTCTGTAAATAACCCTGGGGAAGCTTTGCCTCACTATAGAAATTATAATTATATTATTCGTAATTAGGGGAAGAATTACTGTGACATTTAACACTTTCTCTGCAACCTATACTTGAACCCACAAGCAAGTTTAAACATGTTTATGAGTAATCTGGCCTTTCTCACCAGATTACAGTGGGGCCTCACTTAACAACGTTAATTTGTTTCAGCGAAATCACTGTAGAGCGAAAACATCATAAAGGGAAAATAAAAAACCCATTCAAATGCATTAAAACCCGGTTAATGCATTCCAATGGGCTAAAAACTCACCGTCCAGCAAAGATCCTCTATATGGCAGCCATTTTTGGTGCCTGTATAGTGAGGAATCCGTCCCTAAGCACAGTGGGGAGCCATTTTGAGCACCCGGTGGCCATTTTGAAAACCCGACTATCAGCTGTTTTGATCTTCGCAAAGCGAAAAAAACCCATTTAAAACATCGTTGTGAAGCGGATTCGTCATAATGCGGGGTAATCGTTAAGCGGGGCACGACTGTACTCATAAACATGTCCAAACCCATTCTGCACAGGCTGCAGAAAAAGATATGACATGTCATAGAAATCCTTCCCTTATTCATAATAATAAGATAATAATAGGAGCCTCTTGGGACAGTGAACCAGTTGGGACAGGGAGGAGGAGCCCCTTGCGAGAACAAGGAATGTATCTCAGTGAGTTGGAGTGTGGGCCAGAGATTCAAACCTCTGCTATGCCTCCCAGAAAGGACTCATAGGATCACAAGGAAGGTGTGTGGCTGATGGGGTTTCATGTCCTGCCACTTGTACAGCCTCTTGGTCCCAGAGCATCACCAAAAGGATGGTCTGGTAAACCTAGAAAACCCTGGGAGGGTCACCATAAGCCAGCATCGACTTGAGAGCACATACCGGTAATTATTCATGCTGGGTTAAAAATGGGGAAGCTGGAAAGCATTTCGTCTTCTTTTGACCTGATAGAAAGAACTATGGGAGCCCTTTCTGTACCAGAGGGCAAGCTGAGGCCCCTGTGTACTCAATGAGCCAAGGCATTTTCCCTCTTTCCTTCCCTTTTAGGGAAATCATATACAATGTTTGGAAAAGATAACTCCACACAGAGCCTTGGGATTATTCCTTGTGCTATCTCGTGGCTCTTCAAACTAATCAACGAACGCAAAGAGAAGACCGGAACTCGCTTCTCGATACGAGTGTCTGCTGTGGAGATCAGTGGCAAAGATGAAAACCTTCAGGATTTGTTAGCTGAAGTCGCCACCGGCAGTCTTCAAGACGGGCAGTCTCCTGGGGTTTATCTGCGGGAGGATCCGATCTGTGGAACGCAGGTATCAGATCGCAAGGCAGGTTTAGGAGCCTGGCTTTCCCCTTCATTTTCCTGATATTTTTCAAAAAGAAAAAAAAATCCTTTTGTCTGACAACAATTCTGACCACTTTTTTATTTAAAATAATATTATATTTTAATTGCTTTTTTATTTTTAATCCCCTGTCCCAGAGTGTACATATTTGTATCCGTTAGCACCCACGAGGCTTGCTCTGTTCGGAAAAGGGGAATCGTTCACCCCATCTTAATTAGTTGTTTTCTTCTTTATATTCCAGCTGCAGAATCAAAGTGAATTAAGGGCCCCAACAGCAGAGAAAGCTGCCTTCTTCTTTGACGCAGCTCTGGCAGCCAGGAGTACGAGCAAACCGGAGTGTGACGAGGAGGATCACAGGAATTCCCACATGTTCTTTACACTCCATATATATCAGTATCGAATGGAGAAGAGTGGTAAAGGGGGAAGTACGTTGACCTGGCTCAAGTTTGTTCTAGACTTTCATTGTTTTGAAAAGAGCTGCTAAGCGTTAGCCGAGGTGCTTCTGAGCAAAATGCCTTTTGAATTGCCATTTTGAGGAGCCCAATATTTATTACTTTGTCATCCTTCCAAGGATCTCAAGCTGGCATGTGTGGTTTCCCAAAGTATCTTCAAAACACCCCTGAGAGATGGGTTAGACAGACCTATAGTGAATGGCCTAGGATCACTTAGGGAGCATGACTCAGAGCAGAATTCAACTTTGGTTTCCCTGGTTCCCAACCTTGGGTCCCCAGATGCTCTTGTACTAAAACTCCCCAAACCCTTCACCTTGAGCTGTGCTGGGCAGAATTTCTCGGAGTTATATTCAAGAACATTTGGAGGCCCAAGGTTGAGAACCACGGCTCTGACCTCTTCGTCACATAGCATCTCATCATGTTGGCTACAGTTGAGTTGAAGTAATGGACGACTAGATGAATCTAGTAAGCAGTAGCTTTGGGTGGGGAATGTGCATTTCCATATGAATCAAATCACGTGTGTGGAAATGTGGATTCTCAGACTCACCATAAGATCCATTCATCCAGTTCCTTTGGACCTGGAATCTAGAAGAGAAGATGCACCTCCTTCAGCAGTGCAGGGACCCACTTCTGGATAAGAATTACTCTTGCTTGGTTGGGCAGTTGTTTGTGGCCACAGGGAGTCCAAACATCCCTGATCCTGGACAACAGCTTTATCAACCAATTTTGCCTCTTGCAGCATTTGGCATGTCACCTGACGTTGGTCTTTGTTACCTGAAAGCAAGTGGAAGTCTTTGGGACTTGTGACTAAATAAACCCTACAAGGATTTGGAGAATTCTTATGATTTGTATTCTTGAAAAAGTCAACAATGTCTACATTAGAACTTTAAAAATAACACTTTTGATATGGATTTGGGATTAAGACATCCAGGGTTACATCCTGAGAGCAACCGGTCTTAAGAGTATTAGTATTTGTGTATTCTGTTACAGAGATGGCCAGATTTCCTATCTATTGTTAATTGAAGTAGCACTTTGTTAGACTATGCCCTGTTTAAACTAAGAATTTAGATGTTAAACCCAAGACTTCCTTCAATGCTATTGTGGGTTAAAACAGTTTCATTGTTTAAAAACATCTACGTGTTTTCTTCCCAAGCCATACCTTACATCTGATCATTTTTTCTTTGTTTGTTAGTTTTTTTTATTACTTTGTCATGACAGTGAGATGGCCAAAACTGAGCACAATAATACAGAATTGATGTTCAGAGCTTCTATGTTTCTTTATCATCCCATATCTTCTGTGTTCCTTGTTGGTTTGTTGTTTAGGGTTACTTTGGCTGTGTTACTTTAGAATGCCATTCTTGCTTATTTGTTAACTTTGATTATTTTTGCTGTGTAACTTTAGAACTCTTAATTTTCTGGTTCGTTCATTTGTCCACTTTTGATTAGTAAAGAGCATCCATCTGCATCCATCCACATTTAATTTCCTTGATTCCACCGTTTGAAGAAGAGCTGGATCAATGAGTAACCTGGCTTGCTGTTACTTTGCAGTGTCAGGTGGACGCAGCCGTTTGCATCTCATTGACCTAGGAAGCTGTGAAAAAGTGCTAAGCAAGAATCGAGATGGAGGGGGCTCCCTCTGCCTATCCCTGTCCACCTTGGGCAGCGTCATTCTGTCCTTAATCAATGGCGCCAAGCATGTGCCCTACAAGTAAGTGAATTAATCATGTCATGCTCACAACCGTTGACCTGATCTTTAGATGCTTATTCAAAGCTTTGTCCTGTAGACAGAGCAAGATGGTGTCTTATGAGGCTGTTCCACTGGAGATGAGGCACTTTTGGCCTCAGTCACTTTCTCCTCCATGTGGCTGGAAGAGATGCTGCTTTGTCTGAGTGAGAAGCATGTAGTTACTTCCTTTGACTCTTCACCTAGTCTAATGAATATGTTTTTGAGAAAAGTAGGCTTTACTCTTGGGTTGTGCACTTCCCAGCAACTCAGCTTATGAAAGAGCCCTTTTTCTTCCATATGGGCAAGAGTGGGCAAAGTAATGGCTATGAAGATTCCTATCCCCACCAAAAATGGGCTTCCCCAGCAAAAAGGGGAGCTACTGGTCTTAGAAGAGTCCAGCAACAGCTGTTTGTGGGGGAGCATCCTTGCTGTGCTCAGCACTACAAAGTACCTGTTTTTCAAAACTGGAAGTGCATTTCCAGCCACTTCTAATTTTGCTCTTTTCCTAATATTTCTGATAAACTGTGTGCTCCCTGCCCCTGCAAAGATCCTAGGAGCAAAAGAATGGCTTCTGGATCTGCTAAAGTTGCACATCCCTCCTACAGGCCCACCAAAAGGCCATTTTCAGAGGGGCACTTGATGTGTTTCATGTGCCGTAGCCCAGTGAAGTTCATTGGGCAGTGTTGCAGAGTAAGTATTCAGCTGTCCAACTGGTAGAATGATTCTCATGCTGGGAATGGGTGGGTTCCCCCTGTTGGATGTGTCTGTACCGAGCCCAAGGTGCATGCATTTCTTGATGGTTAACGTTGTTAACCCTTGTTCACCCACACCCACCAGTGTGTGTACTGTGGTTTATTATGGTTTGTTTTTGTTATTTTATAATTTCATTGATTGGATTTACTTACCGGTTTATTTATTTAAGAACTGTTAACGGCTTTGGGATTTGTTGAAATGAAAAGTACAGAAATGTATATATGAACATAGGTAAATAGGTAGATAATTGGATGAACAGTTGGATAGACAGTTGGATAGAGAGTTAGAGAGAGAGAAAGAGAGACATGGTTTTGCCATCTTCTCCGAGATGGTCAACCTCAGATATCTTGGGAGCCAGATTGTTGCTTCCAGCCACCACTGTGGGCCATACTATAATACGAAATGGCTGTTCTCAGCCATTTTTAAAAAGAAAAATGTAACCTTGAACTGCCTGGATAAGCTTTTCTTTCTTTATTTCTTTATTTTGGAGGGTAGGTGGACCTTAGGGGGCCTCAAGGCCTCTTATTCAAAACCTGCTGTTCCTAGAAGACTCCAAGTGCAGAAATAGGGATTTTTTTAAAAAAAGCAAATCCTTTTGCAAGTTTTTAAAATGGGAGAGACTTCAGAATGGGCATGAGAGGGATGCTAAAAGCACTGTGGAACAACCCATGCAAAATTCAAGTTGCCTGTTGTCCCCTCTTAGACAAGTATATATTGATTCTGTTCTGTGGAATTAGGGCTGAATTTCATTGCCCTTTTTTGAAAGGAGGTTTCTTGTGTCCATGAGATCTTTGTATGTGAGCCTATGATTAGGCAGAAAAAGCTTGCTTAGAAAGCCCACAGGAGGAACAGTAAATATTTATGCCTACCATTCATTTCTTGCTCTTGTTCTTTAGGGACAACAAATTGACAATGCTGCTCAGAGAATCTCTTGGGAACATCAACTGCAGAACCACCATGCTGGCTCACATATCAGATTCCCCAGCCAATTATGCTGAAAGTCTCATGACAATCCAGCTTGCCTCTCGGATCCACAGGCTGAGGAAGAAGAAATCCAAGGTGAGAAGCAGCCATCAGTTTCGAAAGAACCATCTTCTCTTCCTACCTAGAAAGCCTACTAGTTGGAAAGCAGTAGCACAGGAAGATTTCAGCTAGGCATATGCACTGGCTTTTGGCAAATGTATAAATATGAACTGAATCAATAATATTTGTGCATTTCCAGAGGGACCACAGGGTAGAGCCAAGAGCCAACGGTCACCTGGTGGAGTACTACCCCACAGAATCCTCATATTAAATCCAGCATTCACATGTCACTAACCAAAGGAGAGAGAGAGAGATGAATGAATGAATGAATGAATAAGAATATGCTCCGTATCTCAGAAGCAAACTTACCTTGCCTTTCCTGCTGCAAAATAATTGATTAATTCCTCCAAGTCTTGTGGCTGCAGCATCTTAATTCCAGATCCAGAGAACATGGGAATTAGGGTAGAGAGAAAGGTAGGAAATTGTTGAGGAACAGGCTCTCTGTATTGCCCTTTTAAGAAGGAATCAAAGATATCTTCCTTTTAAAGGTTCTGACTCAGCTGATAAAGACTCTGGGGTTGTGGCTGGAAAAAGGGGTAAAACAGTGCCCAGTGTACCTAGCTCTGAAGACTACTGCTCGTGCTTTCTGTCCTGTCTGCACTATTCAGTCTGTGCCTAGACTTGCTATTCAAGTTTCCTCATTTACGAGAAGGGGTCTTCACAGGGAACTGCAAATGTGCAAACACTATGCTGAACATGGGCAATATTGGGTTGGGGTGTCACCAGAAGGAAATTGGAAGGGGGCAATCTGTGTGTCCTTTATTTTTGCACATAGCCATTTGTGTGGACTTTTACATACCCCTAATTTCAAGGATTAAAATTATTTAATCAATATACTCTGTAGCATAGTTGGTTTATGATTAGGACACAGAGCACCCACTTGGAAATGTGGGGATGACTTCATGAGGTGCCAAGCAGTTTCACTGCACCATGGTTTTGTTGTAGAGATAGTAGTCCACATATTTATATGTTAACTATAGATGTATGGAGAAACTGAAGCTTTCTGGTTGTTTTTGGCTTACAAGACCCCTGATCTCCAAAGTCATTATCCATGATCATTGGCCATGCTGGTTTGAGCTGATGGGAGTTGGGGCTCAAAGACATTTTTACCACCAATAGGGTTTTCTACCACTGTTACCACCATTACCTGTATCACCACCATCATCACTGTAGACAATCGTCATAAATTATTGCTAGTAGATAGCAAGAACTGGCCTCATGGTCTAGTCACTTCTTAGTGCATTTAGTGCCATAATGCCTTTTTATGTCTTCCACTCACAGTATGCATCCAGTTCATCTGGAGGAGAAAGCTCATGTGAAGAAGGCCACATAAGAAGACCTCCTCATCTGAGACCATTTCATCCTAGGACCATTGCTCTTGATCCTCATGTTCCTGTGCTGAATCTTTCCAACGAGCCTGACTATTCCTCAAGCAGCGAACAGTCCTGTGACACCGTCATCTATGTTGGCCCCAATGGTACAGCCTTGTCAGACCGAGAGCTGACAGATAATGAAGGCCCTCCAGAGTTTGTCCCCATCATCCCTTCCTTAAACAAGAAGAGAAGCAAAGACAACTCAGGTCTCCTGAAAAGTTCCGACAAAGACCATTTTAAATGCAACACATTTGCAGAGTTGCAGGAGAGGCTAGAGTGTATTGATGGAAGTGAGGAGCCGGTTAAGTTTCCATGCGGGGAAGTCTCGACTGCTTCTTCCACCAACACAACACTGACAGTTACAGAGAACGGTCAGTCCAAGTTCAAGCCATCCTCTCCTCCTGGAGGGTTTAATAAAGCAGTCTTACAGGAAATGGAGCCTGCAAAAAAGAGCCAGAACCTTTATTTCCAGCGTAATGGAAATGGACAAGAGAAGAAAACATCTTCCTTAAAACTAGCCAAGCCTGAATGCAAGAGAGCAGATTCAGATGGCGAAAAAGAGGTGATGAATGACTCCAACCACTTACCAGCTTGCAGTGTTGGTAGAGGTCAAGATTTGAGTCAAGTTGCTGGGGCTGAATTGGTTGTCAAAGAAAAATCTTCATTTGCTAAGAGACCCTTGCCTTCGCCTGCACCTCCTCCACCACAGCAGCTGGAATCCCCAGTGAAGAGCAAGATAACTTCTCTGAACAGCAATGCCATCAGGACGCCCCCTGTGGGAATGAGTAAGCAGGCAGTGCAGGATTCCACTCCTGTCAATGAAGGAAATAAGTTCTCAACAACCAACAACACAGAGCACCAGGGAGATGGCATAGAGGTCCATAGGTTTCAGTCCTCTTTTCGGGGCAAATGCTTTGACCGGGATATACTGACCACGACTGTGACTTTGCAGCAGCCTGTGGAACTCAACGGGGAGGATGAACTTGTGTTTACTGTGGTTGAAGAGCTGTCCATCAGTGGCATCTTGGATAATGGAAGACCTGCCAGCATCATCAGCTTTAACAGTGACTGCTCTTTGCAGGCTCTTGCATCAGGTTCAAGACCAGTTAGTATCATCAGCAGTATAAATGATGAGTTTGATGCGTATACCTCCCAGGCAGGTGCCACTGGCGTCAACATTGATATTGTTGTCCCTTTTGCTGAGGGTCCATTCTCCAGCAGCAGCAGACGTTCCTCCATCAGCTCCTGGCTAAGTGAAGTCAGCATCTGTACCATTGAAAGTGATGGAAGCCGACCCAGTGATGGGTTTCTTGCTCAGTCTGCTTACGGCAGTGGCAAGTCTGAGAACCCCTTTAACTTGGATTGTCCTAACGACCCTCTTCCATTGAAAGCCACCTTGAGTGACAGCGGCTTTTGCTTTTCAGAACTGGAGAGTGAGAGCATGAGCTCAGGCAAGACATCACTGGGGGCCAACAGAAGTCCTCAAAACTGTGACATAACCAAAGCATCTCAGACAGAAAGTGCTCTTTGTGTTACTGATCAGCCAGCAAAGGTTAGACCTTCTAACTCACAAAATACACCAGTGATAGAAACTATACACTCTAGTCTTCCCCGGAGAACAAAAACTACCTCATCTTCAACCAATGCAACCAATACTCTCAGTTATAAGGAACTGCAAAAGCCCCATGTGATGTTTGAAGACCCTTGGCTGGTCCGTACGGACAACCCGTTGGAAGCAAACGTGGCAGACACCTCAACTTCTCCAAACACTCGTACATTTAATGCTGAGAAACAGGTGGCTAAGTCCCTGCAACAGTACAGCAGTTCAGTGAGGCCAGCCAAATCCCAGACAATGCTTGCATGTTCCCAGAGGGTTGTAGACGGTTGTGAAATGGCCTGCAAGTCCTCCAGTGGAGCTGCTAAAAAAACAGAGGTTGCCACAAAAATGCCACAGCTTAGAAGAGGAGCCACCACCTTGGGTGTGTCACACAGCAGTAGTGGAGCTATAGATGGTATCAGCAGGGGCAGTTCGGAAGTTGCGTTTGCCACTGGTAGTCTGAAAAAAAAGAACGGGCAGCCCAAATCAAGCATGTTGCCCAGGCCAAACGGAGCAGTCCCTCCCATGCCCCCTGTGCGTAAGTCAAGCCTTGAGCAGAAAAATGGTGGGATAACTAGTGGAGGAGGAAAAGCTGCAGGATTGGACCCTGGTAAGGCTGTTCCAGTAAAAAATGAGGATGACACTGATTTGCGACTGAGAGCTGGGTCTTATGCTCTTGAAAACACTAGCAGCAAATACAACCTCAAGGGAGACCACTCTTTGCCCAAAGCAACCTCGAGTTTAAAATCAAAGGCATCCAAAAGCGAAGCCATCCATCGTTACGGGAGCCACATGTCCCTTGAGAGATGTGAGAGCTTGGTGTCCGTCGGGCCGAAGGCCAGCCCAAATAAGGAGAACAGCGGCGGCAGTGTTAACAATGGCAGAAATGGTCGACTGGTCCCTAGGCTGGGGGTCCCACCTGTTGCTTCTGGCTTGACGTCGCCTCCCTCTTACACCACGCCGTCGCCCTGCAAAAGCAGTCAGGCTAAAAGCAGCACAAGTCAGAAGGCTCTAGCCGGTGGGAATAAAAGCCGTAGCCTTTCGGCCAGTGGGTCCAAGTCTCTGAGCAACTCAGTGAAGTCATTAGCACAGCCAGTGGGGAAGACCTCCAGCATTCCCTTGACTGGGAAAGCAGCCCCACGGTCCGTACAAGGTGTCAGCAGCAAACCTGGTCGGGGGACTATCATGGGAACCAAGCAAGCCATTAGGGCAGCCAACAGCCGGGTGAACGAACTGGCCTTGGGCAGTTCAGCCAAGATGAACCATTTCCGGGGCTCAACAGATTCCGACAGTGGCAACGACAGTGGAATTAATCTCAGTGATGAGAAGTCCCAGGTCCTGGCTCTGCCATCTCCTTACAGCAAGATCACAGCTCCGAGGAGGCCTCAGCGCTACAGCAGCGGACATGGGAGTGATAACAGCAGTGTCTTGAGTGGGGAGCTACCGCCAGCAATGGGCAGGACAGCTCTTTTTTACCACAGTGGCGGCAGCAGTGGCTACGAGAGCATGATCCGCGACAGTGAAGCCACAGGCAGTGCCTCCTCGGCCCACGATTCCATGAGCGAGAGCGGGATGTCCTCACCAGGCCGCATGAGAAGTTTGAAATCACCCAAGAAAAGATCCACAGGTAACCAACCAACTCCCCAACCCTTTAGGGAATGAATGTTCATTGAACTGGCTATAAATGGTGCTGAACAGGTCTGTCAATGCCATGGGCTCTGGAGTCCTTCGGCATCGAGGATGGAAAGAGAATGCACAATATTCCTTGTTATCATTTGTTTAGAGTTTCCTCCTGAGAAGTTTTAAAGCCCAGAGTGATTCCTTCTCTCAATCCAAGGGCGAGACAAGGAGCTTCCCCTCTCTGTGTGTGTATACTTGCAAACATCTCCTGTGTTCTTACCCTTCAATAAGCAAACACACACACACACACAGAGACACACAGAGCAAGCACAGAAGGACTCGCTGATTGTCAAGCAGGATGCAAAAAAAAATCCAGCCAATGCTTTAGTTATATAAGTAAGCAGCTGTTGTTGTAATATTGGGCAATTGACATAATTTTTCACATTGCACAATTTTGTGTAGATTAAGTTCTGCAGAAATACAAGCAACTGTTTTGCAAAACAGTTGCTCACCAAGGTGAGAATTCTGTCAGGAACACCAGAAAATCACTTGCTTGCCTTAACAACCTTGTTCTTTGTCATCTGTTTGTGTGAGGCTGAGACACAATACACAAACGTTGGGTCAACAAAATGCTGGATGAAATCGCCCAAATGGCATTAAGTAGCTATGATGCTTTGATTCATAGGAGGTCTGGATTGAGGGGCTAATGAGAAATGCTGATCTTCAGTTTAAATGTGGAAGAATGCAAAAGTGACAATTTTTTGCCTATTGCTGGCAATAGGTATACTTGGGAAGGAGAGAAAGGGAGAGTTAGGGTAGAGCGGTGATGACGGGTGACCACAGCTCACAAGTCGATATGTGGGCAAATAGGGTGTATGTGGATGTCCTGTGATTCTTTGGTAATTGCCAAGTATCCTTTGTGTACAAAACTTTTGATTGGCAGCTCTCCAATTATATAAGAAAGGGAGATAAAAGAATTCGGTTAAAAACAATGCACTAAACTTTGTGATTAATGCTACTAATTAACTACAAACCTAAGGCTTTCATTAGTTTTACAGCGCATTTAGACAATCAACTGAAATTAGAAATAGATTGGAGATTCACTGGAGTAATCAGTTCCGAGAGGCTTCCTTTCGTAGAAGACTATACTAAGACTTCTGTGCCATCCAACTTTAAACAGAAATGGAAAAGAGTTGATCTAATTTGGCAGGGAGCAACCTAAGTTAAAGAACAAATCAGTCCCGTGGGAGACTTGGGCATGTCTGCCAAAGTACATTTCTTAAGTACAGAAATGATTTTTCAGAAGAAAAAAAATGTGTACTAATGGAAGGGTATGGCAACAGGAACAATAACAATATCAACCCTCTCTTCCTCCCATCAGTCTTACAACATTGTCCTACTAAAATAAGTCCCTTGTGCATTTCCAGAGTAAATGTCTTTCCTCTTTTGAAACATTAAAAATTTATTTTGTATTTCTTGGACTTAGATCGTATTGCACCAGCCATCATCTGTGGAATTTTAAATTAAGGTTGTGCTGGTGAGGGGCCATTTTCACCTTTATTTATAATTGTAAGGAGCCTTTACATTTTTTTCACCTTTATTTATAATTGTAAGGAGCCTCGTGGCACAGTGGTGAAACTGCAGTACTGCAGCCAAAACTGTGCTCACAACCTGAGCTCAATCCCAGGTGGCTTAAGGTTCACTCAGCCTTCCATCCTTCCAAGGTCAGTAAATTGAGTACCCAGCTTGCTGGGAAGGTGGTAGTGAGTCAATGCATAATTCAATTGTAAACTGCCCAGAGAGTGCTTTAAATGCTATGGGGGCGGTATATAAGCAGCACAGTTTGCTTTGTACTTGCATAATTTAAAAATAGATGTATTTAACTGTGGCAGATTGAACCTAGTTGTGCTCTCTTATTAATGGAAAAGGCTTCAGATCCAGTGGATGCTTCTGTTAGTATTTTCAGAATCAGATGTTTTATGAACAGACAATAGCATCCTTCTGCAGATGGAAAGAAAATTTGCATGGAAGCTGAAGAAAGGGGGATTTAATTTTTAAAAAACAGCTTTTCCTCTGCTTCTGATAGGGACTGCCTCTACTAAATGAAAGACATTTCTCTCTCCCACAAATATTCACCCCTTTCTTCTAGGCTTTCTTGCTCATCCACCCTTGCGTACACCAAAATGTATGGTTCTGTCAGTGTTCATCATAATGCACTTCCAGTCCGAGTGACCAGTTTGCCTCCTTGTGCAATCAGTATAAAGGCCTGATCTTCAGCTTTTGTGGTTTCTCTTTTTCCATAGAACATCACCTTCCTAAGTCTGTCCCACAAATCAATATTAACAGCTGTGTAAAGTTGCACACCTATTGAGAAGGGATTACTGGGTAATGGATTTGTATTCGGTTTTGCCTCAGGAAATACTTTATAAGGGCTTTCTTTTTAAAATGACAAACAGTTCTTTTTCTCAATTGGAACAGTCTTTTTATCAATAAATTATTGCTTGCCCTTTGGAATCCTTAGTGCTTTGACACTTCTAAGTCTTCCAGATTTTTGTCTGGGAATTATTAGCAGGGAGAAAATTCTTGTAAATGTCTACCCAGAAGGAAGGTTCGCTGGGTTCAATGGGGCTCCTAGGTGAACTGTGGGTAAGACTGTAATCCAGTACACTGGGAGTGAAAAACTGGTGGAGGCCCACATTTCTATTTATTCCATTTCAGTCAAATATTCCTTCAGGAGTAATCTGTCGGGACAAAGTAAATGGGTGGTCCAGACCTTCTTCTACCACCCTCTTTATTTGGCTTTAACTGACAAAGCCCTGAATAGTTTTTGAGCCTGTTCTTTGTCAGAATGTCTTTGCAAAGACTTCTTGGTTATGGCCCCACCCTCTCTCTCAACCTTCAAGAGGATGTTAAGAACATTACTCTTTAAAGAAGTTTTTAAAGACATCTTTTCTTGACTTTTCAATATATGAGTCTTCCAATCCAGCCATCGTTTATGTTCTAGTTAGGTTTGTTTTGCTATTTATATTTGGATTTGTTGATTTCCTCTTTGGTTTGTGTGGGGAGGGTATTTGTGAGGTCATTATTAGAGATGGAGATATTCATATTCATAAACGAATACAAATATCCCCATCCCAGGTGCACCTAATGTGGGTCTGGCCCTTGGAACTGGCCTGTCTACTCATGCGCTGTCACACCACCAGCATCCCGCTCTTTCCACCAATCGCTGAAGGAGCTCTGCTGTCTCCCTGTTCAGCTGGCCACTTAGCAGCCATGTAGGGAGACTTGTCCTCCTGCCCCCTGCCTGGAGTGGCCAGCCGAGACAGGAGACAACAGAGCTACTTCTGTGATTGGTAGGAAGAATGGTATGCTGGCATGTGAGTGGATGGGCCAATTCTGAGGGCTGAACCCATCTACAGTAGTCCATAAACTCAGATTCAAACAAAACTCATAATACATCCAGTGTTCCTCATCCCCCTCGGGATTTCCCCCCTCCTTTTTAAATTTATATGTCCTGTTTCTCTCCAAAAATATAGTGATTCCCGTCCAGGGGTATAACCTTTCTTTGCCTTTCCCAAATACATGTACTAAAAAACCCCACATTCTATATATCCTTAAAATAATTTGCTTTCAGTATTCTTTTTCTAACTTCCATTAACATGTTAATGTATTGTTGATAGCCATATTCCACATTCCTTTATGCCAATCCTCCATATTAAACTGGTTATTCGTCTTCTAATTCCTTGCAAACATCAGTCTTGTGATTGTTACCATAATAATAATTAACTCATTTTTCGTATTCTAATTGGGTGCAGTATTTCTAAACATGTTTAACAAAGCTCTCTCCCTCTCTCTCTCTCTCTCACAGTATTTCTAAATATGTTTAACAAAGCTCTCTCTCTCTCTCTTCTTCTCCTACTATCCCTTTTACTCTCTCTCCTCGCCCTCTCACTTCATCCCCATCCTAACACATCTTCTCTCAGTACCTTCCCCCAGTGAACTGCTGACGGCTGCACACATTGTTCTGAATGGATGATTAGTAGAGATCTTCTCAAACTGAGCAAGTTGCTATCTTGGTTTAGGAATGTGTTATTTATGCTGACTTCAGGGCTTCACCAATAAAACCTTGTTGAAATTATGGTGGGTGCTGGGGACATGCACTCCAGTCATGCTCCCTTCTCTTCCAGTCTCCCCACATTGATGGAGAGGAACGTAGCATAAACACATGTAAGCAGAATGGACATGCACAGCTTCAGGTTGTCAGGAATCCTGGATTGTTGCACCCGCCCATCCATCAGCATGTGCTGAAGCATCGTTACACTGTTTCTGCAGGCTTTCCCTGTGAATGCAGGGAGGTGGGGAGTGAAGGAGGTACAGCCAGAGTCTGTGTCTTTGGTTCCCTCGATAGTATGACTATGGCTCACTTTGGCAAAGTCTTCGGAAGGTTATAAAGATGGATGGATGGGTGAACAGATGAGTGGGGATGTTAGGCCATATGATGATCCAAAGGAAGGTTTGATCTGCCCAACCCAGTCTGCAGTTTCATTTCATGACCATGCTTCAACTTCAATCTCTAGATTTGGATCTAGCTACCCTTGGGCCTTGGTCTGTTCCCTTTCCAGCTGTTGTATGCCCCCTCCCCATTTGATAGACTTCTACTGGAGCTTAAGTCCTGGCAGTAAAGCTTTAAGGCTGAACGTGTTCCTGTTGTTTGTTTGTTTGTTTGTTGTTCGCACCCTTCACTGGAAAAGCCCTCCTCTCCCAATTTCCCTGAACTTAATTACGTGTGTGTTGTTCGCACCCTTCACTGGAACAAGCCCTTCCTCTCCCAATTTCCCTGAACTTAATTACTTTTTTATTTAAAATATCCCCCCCGCCTTATTCCCCAAAAAGACCTAAGGCAATTAACTTGAAACTTGAAAGCAGTCCTTGGCTTGAAAGAGATACAATGTGAGAGAAGGGTGAGAATATCGAAACCCAGTTGTTCACTATGACAAAGTAATTATGATACTATCAAAATAGTAATTGTCTGCAGCTGGGTGGAAGCATTGTCTGGACTGAAATGTGTATGGCTTGGAGAGCAGACCAATGCACACGAGAGACCCTGTTGGCTTTCTCTTCTCCCCTCCCTCCTTCCAGGTTTCCAGCGTCGACGGCTGATCCCAGCCCCTCTTCCTGATTCATCATCCCTGGGGAGCGTTGCTGGTCAGTGGGTTGATCTACCACCCTTGCCGGGGACTTTGAAAGAGCCATTTGAAATTAAAGTTTATGAGATTGATGATGTGGAACGATTACAGCGACACAGACAAGAGGAAACGGAGGTCAGCACATATTTTACTGCATGCTGAACAATTTAAATCACACACACGCACAAAACAGACAAAACAGGAGGGTTGCTTCTGATCTAGTAGATGGCATTAGAGAAGAATGGACGGTGATTAGAAACACAATATTGCTTTTTTTCATTTTTACAATTCATATGTTGGGGTGTCTTTTCCATTGAAAATAATTGCAGTCTGCCATTAATTGTGTTTAACGTAGCTGATGGAGTGAGCGGAGAATATCAATTAATACGTTACGAGAAGGCTTTATAATCATTGCCTGCCTGATGAAACTTTATGGGCCTTCCTTCACGATTGGGTCATTAACTCTTTATGTAAATGGCATAAAGTATCCCAGTTAGAATTCGGTTACATTCAAGATGTTGTGAGTTTAATTTACTTGTAATTGGCAAAACAATCCCGTTAATTCTGACTTGGTGACGGGAATGGCAGCTATCTGTCTGCTACCAGTTTTTTTAAAAATATGTTTTCTCATTTCTTTTCTAGCAGCCCTTCCAGGATGTTGAAAAGGTAAGTCATATCTTTGGATCTGCCTTGTGTTAGCCAGAAGAGAGATGTTTGCAGAAACATGGAGTTTTCCCATTGCCCTGTTGACTTTTTTTCTTTCAAATCTTTAGAGATATATTTGCATCCCTTAACATAACGAAATATATGAGATTCAAGGATATGGGTCAAAAGCCAGAGGGAGAAAAACTCAATGTGGAATGGGAGTTTCCCAGATATTTTCTCCCTCCTGCAGGCTCCTATGATCAATCGTCTTGAGACTAGTTGTGTACTGGAGTTTGCAACTAGTGTGACATGGAGGAGATCCATGATGAGACTAACACAATTGCCCTTACAGGCCTGCATAAGTGACTAAGGTCCTACTCACTAGAGATACTGGAAAATCCAGTAGCATGCTCCCTTTAATTAATATGAATAACAATAATTGCGTGTGGTGATTTTGAATTTATAGTCACCCTTTTCAGGAATTTCTAGGTATAGAGAACTCAGAAGTGGTTTGCCATTCCCATCTTCTGGGGTTGCCCCGGGACTATGAAGCTTGCCCAAGGCCACACAGGCTGGCTCTTCTGGGACGCACAGTGAGGAAATCGAACTCCCAACGTCAGTCTCTCCAGAGACCTAACTCATTGAGCTATCCAGCCAACTACCCATTAATTAGGGATATTTAAATCAAGAGGGAAACTGTAAAGAAGCTTCCTACCTTGTTTACATCTGGGTGCAGAATAGAAAGGGGGTAATTTTAGGAGAGAAAAGCAAATAACATGAATTTGCATGGGTGAAAAATGCTTTTTCTCTCCAGCCTTCTGATTTCCTTCATGTTTTAGAACTGTCCAGTTACAGTTTAAAGTTGCATTTTAGAGCTTCTTTTATCTCTGCGGGTACTTTAGATCTTACATCACTGGCTGCTTTTGAAGTTTTCATGCCTGTTACCATAAATTGTATTGCTCAGCTGTGTTTAATTATTACAATATTTGCTTGGTTTCCATTGCTTCTGATGTTTTAAAGTTTTGTATAAATGCGCCTGACTTACAGGGGCAGCTTGGGGCAATGTTTTGCCCTCTGGATATTTTGGATTACAATTCCCATCCCCCTGACCCTTGACCATGCTGTTAGGGGCAGATGGGCATTGTTGTCCAAACCAGCCAGAAGGCATCGTGTTGGGAAAGGCTCCTATAGGATTACTTGTAACACAAGGATGTAAATAAAAACAACACATAACATTGAAAGAGAACATTTGTAGTGAAGATGCCATACTGGGGGCTGGGGTATATAATATCCCCTACTTCCTGTGTGTCTTCTCCTCTCCTGCATCCTTTCTTCCAGGTTCCAATCACTAAACTGGTGAAGGACATCTAGGGATAGGGATTGCAGAGACAAAGAGACGGATGGGGTAACAGGCTGTGCCTCCCCCCCCCCATAGGTTATGCATCTGTAGTTCACCCACAGCTTTTCTTGTGTTTATTTTGCTAACCAAATTATATTTAGTCTTTGCACTGGAGGGTGTAAACCATTTCTGTGCATAAGGTTGTAATTTAACAGTATCCTCAAGAAGTACATTAACTCAGGGAATGGCAATAAATGCCTTAAGTGCTCGTAGCATGTTGCTTTTATTAGATTAGCATCTATGAAAGTCCACTTCCAGCGAAGGTGGGAGGATTGAAAACAGGATCCTTCTTCTACTTAACGGGTTTGGTCCCTGGGCTGTGTATCTGATGAAGCTGAACAACGAGGGCTATGGGGGAGGTTTTTTTTGTTTTCTTTGAGGAAAGGAAAGAAGGAAAGGAGGGTGACCCATGTAAGTCATGGATTGGTCCTTTTTGTCTTCCCCCAAAGGGCCTGATCTATTTTAATACAAAACTGAAAATCCTGGAGAGACGCCACCAGCGAATTAGAGAAGTGAAAGCAAAGCATGAGCTCTTGAAAGAGGAGTTGGAGGAAACTAAGGGCAGGCTGATGTTGGATCCCAGCAAGTGGAAAGGCGAGTGTAAGTATTTCTCAGTTGATAAAGACCAAGGTTTCTAGCAGAGAAATCACTGGCTGTGGCGAGAGGGGCAGACTGAGAGCTACTGGCCTCTAAAAACTGTGTCGAATTATTGTGACAGACTGGAAGCAGGAGTGAGTGGATTGGCCTGTCTCTATATTTTGTGGATTCATTCTGCCCATTTTCTGCTTTCCCTCTCTTTGAGTTTAAAATAGTCAAAGACTGGCTACAGGTATCTGTGAAAACATATACGTGGCACGTGCTAAATATGCCTTTGGTCATCGTGGCCCCTTTGAGAGCTCATTAATGCCGGTGCCATCCAAAAGGCCCCGTAATGAAAAGGGGACCAAAACCTCTTTCTGGCTCTTCGAAGCAGTGTCAGCTTTATTTTGAAAACAAACAAACAACATAGGTCTTCAGAAAGGCCACTGAGACTTCACCGGGCTCACCATGACTTCTTTATTTTGCTGCACATCGGAACTGGAGCAGGAACTGGCAAGCCACTCCAGTATCTTTGCCAAGGAAACTCCATGAACAGAAATCATGTTAACATCTGGAATCGCAGTGAAGTGCTTTCAGCTGATGCAGGGCTTGAAGTTGGGTAGCCCATCCCAGATTCCAGCCCATCCTGATCTTGCTAACCTCTAGGCATTCTTACCCATGGCTAAAGCATGAACAAGTATGGAATCTCTTCTCCTGTTCCATGTCATCAGCTGCCACTGGCCGAGGGTGGGTGGAAAATGGTACCATGTGATATCCCCATGCTAAATGTGGCTAAACCTTTTTGATGGAATCTGAGAAACAGGTATTTTTCATAATCATATGTTTGGGATTTTTTTCCCTCTGTCTCAGCCAGTTTGACCAAATCAACAAACCTGGGTACCATACTGCTCAACTTTTGCTTCAAAGCATTTATGAATAAGTTTTTTAAAAAAGCACTGTCCCCAAAGCAGGTTTTTGTTAATTTAATGTGTCCCTAAGTCACATCTAACAGCAACCCTCAAGTTGAGATAACTAAAGAGTAGTTTTATCATTGCCACACACCCCTGGTGAGTATCCATGGCCAAGTTGTTATTTGAACCCAGGTCCCCAAAGTCTTAGCCTTTTGCTGTATCCATCGCAGCCCAGTGGCTCCCATAGTTTTTTGAGGGACACAGTTTTTCTCATTTGACCACTGTCCTTCTATCAGCTTCAGACATTGGCCTGAACTGAAAAGTTCCCCCAGGGACTGTTATTTGGACAAAAGTGCTAGTCGGTACTGGTTGCCCCAGTGGCTTACTGGGAATGTCACACAGTTTGACAGCACAAACCTAGTAGGCTTTCCATATGATGATTTTTCTATATTGCTTGAGTGGTACGGCACTGGGAATAATAGCAAATTAATTAATAAATCAAGCCTGTGTAGACATTCAGACATCTTCCCCCAGCTGGGTGCTTGCTAATATAGTAACAGTTGTCAGACCAAATGAAGAAAGAAAGCAAAAAAAACCCGGCAGTAAAAACCATTTCCCACTGCTATGGCTGTTCCTCTGATCAACGAAATAGTCTGTTGCCACTCTATATAAGCCACGGCCATGCCTGCTCTCAGCAGAAGTCCTGCTGACATTCTGTGGTGCAGCCCCAGCAGGAGTGTGGAGTGATGTTATTAGCTCACCCCAGAAGGCTAGGGGTAGCTAAGGTCTATTTGCATTCTCCTGATGCAGTCACATGGCATGGTATCACAGCCAGCATGAAGCAATTTGGGACTGGTCCTACCATTAGGACGTGGTGGCACTGCGGGCTAAACTGCAGAAGCCTGTACTGCAGGGTCAGAAGACCAAGCAGTCGTAAGATCGAATCCACGCAACGGAGTGAGCGCCCGTTGCTTGTCCCAGCTCCTGCCAACCTAGCGGTTCGAAAGCATGCAAATGCAAGTAGATCAATAGGGACCACTTCGGTGGGAAGGTAACAGCGTTCCGTGTCTAAGTCGCACTGGCCATGTGACCACGGAAGATTGTCTTTGGACAAAACGCTGGCTCTATGGCTTGGAAACGGGGATGAGCACTGCCCCCTAGAGTTGAACACGACTGGACAAAAACTATCAAGGGGAACCTTTACCTTTACCTACAATTAGGCAAAGTTGAAGCAGTTCCCTGCAGGCAGCAAAGTTGGGGAGTCATGAATGGATAGCAAGTGGCTACTTATATAATTATTGTTTTTATATTTTTATGGCCAAGATGGGGAAAATGCTTTTTTAAGAAAGCTGACTTTGGGTACTATTTGGCTTGACTTGGGGTACAAGGGTGACATGTGTTGCTTTGTTTAGTGTATCACGGTATTTTTGGGCTGATCATGATACATTTTTGCTGCCTGTCTGGGGAACAGTGCACACAGTTTTTATTCTAAGAGCACAAATGAGCTAGGATCAACACCCCAGGCCTTTCTGAGTAACAGGGACTATGACGTTATCCACCACCCTGCTTAGGCTTTCTTATAATATAATGCAAAGAGTTTGAGGGTGGTGTTGCATTGGATGGGCAGTTAAGAGCCATTAGCTTTACAAAATACCTGCTCCTCATTTGTTAATATAGACTGACTGGGCTTGCATTTTTGGATCCTCCTTATGTTGGGGTGGTGGTAGCTGTGGGGACTCGTGACGAGGACCTTCACTTCCACTTTCACCGAAAGAACAGTACCCATAGAGAGCATTGTTTGATAGTGACAGATGTCTGTTTATCTCTTCATCTTAACAGTTGAGGTTGACCCAGATCTTGACAAGGAGTCGCAAGATTATCTGGAGGCACTGGAGCAAGTTACGGAGGAACTGGAGCAGTGTGTGAATCTCTGCAAATCGCATGTCATGATCGTCACCTGCTTTGATATCGGCGTGATCTGCGACACCCAGGAAGGAGCACGTGAAGTGGAAGTTTGAAGGTGGTTTGTAAATGGGACTCAAAGAGATGGAGCTGAACTAACAAAGGAGGAGGGAAAGGGGAAATACGTGTGTTGGAAAGAGGAAGGTGGAAAGGTGAAGACGCAGCTTGGATGAAGAATGTTGTTAAAGCCTGAAACTATCAAGGAATTAGAATGTTCTAAACCTTTATGGTGCCTCAGCAACCTATGGATTGTACAAAGATCGACCTGAGATTTCTAAAGGAGGAAAGCAAACAAAAAAACAAAACAGAACAGAACCTGTTAAGAACCAACTCTGTTTCAAAAGCAGAAGTGCCTTTTCTCATGCATTTGTGACTTGTTTTCTTGATTTTTTTTTGTATTTGTTGCTTAGAATCGAAACCAGCAAACCTAAACAGACCATAAAATGTATTCCTATGAAAGATTTTATACTGTATAGTGTAATTTATGATTATATGTAAAAACAAAACAAAAAAACCAGACGAACAAAAACTGTAGCGAAAGCAATAAGTAAATTATGTTCTTACACCTGAATTTGCCTCCTTGTTTCATGGAAAAGCTGGCTTTATGTAGCAGAACAAAAAAGAAAATAAATTGTATTATAATTGATTTTCATGGTTTAGGATTTGAGATATTTTTATGAGCGGTTATCTACTGGAAAGTTGTATTATGAAATTTCAGAATGCTTGGTTTGTATTCCATTTTTTATACTCTTCCTTTTGCAGATCACAATGAACTTGGGTTTTTTTTCCATATTTTTCTTACAAAATATTAGGGCTGAAATGTTTGGTTGATTAATCAGGTTTGATTAGTCAACTAAAAAAACTCTGTACAACTGATCAAAAAAGGTGCCTCCTGAATTACCATGTAGCCGATATTTAAAACAGTGTCTGAACGTATTTTTAATATAACCACTTAGCAGCATCTGAGACTGGTAGATACTGTCATTGAAGTTTTCTGTGTTCTTCCTCTCACCTGTGCAGGTATGCCTCTCTCAAGATGGCACATTCAAGATTTTAAAATGTAAGAAGAATGCATTTCCCTTGAGAACTATTATATGTTCAGTTCCTGTGTAACTGTGTGGTTTTCACCCATTGCTCGACTAATGTATGGGCTGAAACTGCATTATAATTTACCAAGATTTCTTTCATCAGGTGCCAGTCCTCATAAATCAGGGGCCACTTTCTTCAGACTATTTATTCTAGGTCAGGGGTGAACAATTTTGGTGGACGGAGTGGGGCAGCACTGTATCCCACTAAACCCGGCTGCTGTTGCTCACTTCTGCTTCCACAGGAATTGCTGCCAAGCTGTTGAAATATAGTAGCATCGTGGTGGCAGGGAGAAAAGGCTGCAGTGTACCATTAAAAGGAAGAAATGCACAGGAGCGTGCACGTTATTGTCAAGTTGAATTGCGTGCCAAGGTTTCTGGGAGCACCTTTCAGCTTGAAAACAAAACTCATGCTCCCCATGCACTTCATTTTAATGGTAAATTGGAGCTTTTTAAAAAAGGCACTGCCGAAATTCAGTGGCATGTATTAGATGGTACGTATTATCTATCAGGCAACGGGGACTAAACTAACGAGAGGGACATGAAGTCTGTGGGCTACATGCTGCCCCCCTGTGCTCTAGGTGGCCGAAATGAATTTCCACATCCAAGTATCGTCTCCAGGAGAATAAATGTATTGTATATGCATTATTACACTCAAGAGCCTGCATAAAAATCCCAGCAACTTCTGCCTTGAGTCAAAGCTGCTTTGGGTGTGGGTGACTTTTAGCAGAGAGGTGGCGATAGGTAGGATTGTGTGTTTACCTCTTTCTCCACCTCCATGCAAACTGCCGCTTCAGCTGCTCCCTCCTGAAGGTGTTTCGGAGATGTGTTGATCCTTGCTAACACATGGATGGAAACCTGTAGTTGGGAAAGCTGCTAGATGGGGAGTAAAGGGAAGAACATGGCCTCATGCCAGTTAAGCACTGCACACTGATCCTTCCTTTGCTGGAATCTGTCTCAGGTAGCTTTGACTATAACAAATGAATGGGAGGGCTTCTTTTTATACACCGATTTGTGTGATTTGTCCCTAACTTTGATATTGACCTCATTCTTCACTGGTAAACTTTTCTAGATGTTCTAAACCTGGGGGGGCATCATAAATACCCCCTGTTTTATCCATCCTGGATAAGGTTTTCCACTGGAACCCCAAGAAATGTGTTCCTTTTGGAATGGATCAGAGATGGGAAAAGTCCTTTTTTGGGACGGGAACTGAAAGAACACTCTGTGGTGCCTCGCTGGACAGTTACCCCGCATGACAGTTCTTTCGCTAGACATTGACTTTTTGCGATCACTTCAGTGATTCGCAAAAAAGTGATTCCTATGGGGGAATTTCGCTCGACAATGTTTGGTCCCTGCTTCGTAAACCGATTTTCACTAGACGACGATTTTGACAGCACCCTCCACGCTCGCAAAACAGGTGTTTTCGGGACCTAAGCTTTGCAAGACAGCAGTTTAAACAGCTGATCGGCGGTTCACAAAGCGGCTTTCCTATGGCCGATCTTAGCTAGACAATGACGATTCTTCCCCATTGGAACGCATTAAACAGGTTTCAATGCATTCCAATGGGGAAATGCTTTTCGCTAGACAATGATTTCGCTAAACAGCGATTTCAGTGGAACGGATTATCATTGTCTAGTGAGGCACCACTGTACTCTGACTAGGGTATCCGGGGAGCTGCTGCCAAAAAGCGAGGAACTTTTCTCATCTCTGGGACTGATGTTAAAACATTGCTTCAAGGTTTGGGCTGCCTTGAGTTGGTTACGGCCCACAGGATTTCTAGTTGCTGGTCAGTCCCTGCCTTAATCTTACCCGAATAAGTCTGTAAGCAACACTGTGGCTTTTTCCCTCTCTCTTCTGTGTGCTGGAATTGAGAATAATGGGTTGATTGTGGACTTAGTCCCATGTAGAGTAGGTCTACTGAAACAGAAGTGGTTAGGATTTAACACGAAGATCAAACGTATCCGCACTACTACTAAGTCTAGATTCAGCTCTATGTTTACTACCAAAATCACAAGGAAGTGGGGTAAAAAGTTGTCTCTTTTGTTTTTGGTAAATATTACGTTACTTCCATATTTTTGTATCGTTTTGACAATAAATATAGCATTTGCATTTTTATGAACTTTGAAAGACAAATATATCTTTTTACAGTTTTTTCTAAGGAAGGCAAACACTCAGGATTGTTTCTAGACATGCTGCATGACCCTTGTCCTTTATTCCTCTTTTCCCTCCCTGTTTTCTTTTTTAAAGAAGTCCACTGTTTCAGGTGGAGATGGTTGATAAATTGTTGCCAAACAAAATGACTTTTGAAAACGTTTGATAGTGTATGTAATGATCACATTTCATAAGGAACCATATTTTCTGATCATCTTGCTTTGTATGGGGTTGTGTTTTTTTCTCCCCCGATATCCTTTGTAAAAAAAATGTATACAGTAATGGCTTGCTTCAGCTTTTCCATGTGAATAAAAAGATGCATCTATTGTTAACCTGGCTCTTGATTTCAATGCCTGGGTATTGGTTTGTCTAGTCAATAAGTAATGGGGCGTTTGTTTTTGTCTTTTTCAAAGTACAAGTAGTATAAAATATTCTTCAATATAGTTACGGTGCTTCTATCTTGAGAATGGAAAAAGCTCAGGCTATGATCACATGGGGAAACAGATCATAATTTGGATGCTTGTGGAGCAGTCCGATGTGATCAATTTCCTGGCAACCATGTCCTCCAAATGTGTTCTGTCCGATGCATTTTTAGTATCACCTGACAGGACAAAATTCCAAATAGAGTAATCCTAGAATGAACTGGAATTTTTAGCATGTATACATTACTGAAACAGCGACGTCTACATTGGCTCAGGCATGTCGTGAGAATGGCTGATGGTCATATTCCAAAACATCTCCTGTATGGAGAATTAGTGCAGGGAAATCGCCCCAGAGGGAGACCACAGCTGCGATACAAGGACATCTGCAAATAGGATCTGAAGGCCTTAGGAATGGACCTCAACAGATGGGAAACCCTGACATCTGAGCGTTCAGCCTGGAGGCAGGCATTGCATCACGGCCTCTCCCAATTTGAAGAGATCCTTATCCAGCAGGCCGAGGTGAAGAGGAAGTCACAAAAGCAGCAAAAGCAGGGAGCTGGACAGGGGTCAGATTGGATTTGTCTTCAGTGTGGAAGAGATGGTCACTCTCGAATTGGCTTCCTCAGCCACACTAGAAGCTGTTCCAAGTCCTCTATTCAGAGCATGTTACCATAGTCTCTCGAGACTGAAGGACGCCTACCACTATGTATGTCCTCCAATCCATGCCCAAGCTGGTCCAGCTGTAGGGCTTCCACTTTTGGAGGCTGAGCTGGAGCAATTCCCCAGCAGATGGAAGGTTCATTTTAAAGAAGATCCCTCCTGTTAGAGGTTGCACAGACATGCACCGTTGCACACATCTGATCACACCCTTTGCCTGTGTGCATAGGGGTCTATATTCCCAGTTTATTAGTAAAATCTGGAGTGAGATGTGATGCTCTGAGCCTCTGGTGCTCGGTGAGAAACCAAGAAAAATCCCTCTCTTTTTAAAATCACAAATTTCTCTGCACTATTCTCTCCCTCCCCAAGAAATTTCACAAGATTTCTTGGGTGTTTCATGGTCACATTTTTTCTGGAAGAAACACCAGTCTATACAGCAGCCTCTTCCTTCCCAGCTACCCTGAGAAACTGCAGTTCTTCCTTCTTTAAAGAAGCAACAGAAAAGCTGCTGGCAGCATGAATCAGCCCACTTAGTTGTATTTGCATAAAAGGGGAGCTGTCTCCTTTCTTAGTTCATGTCGGAAGTCCCACAGTACAATTTAAAAATATACCAGATAATTTTCACCCTGTAAGAGCAACATAAAGAGCATCTGAGACAGCTAGCAGGACGTCTTCTATAGTACCTGTTACACAATACAGTGACATAGGTTTGAAGCTGCTTCTTCCTCTCCACGTACACAAAGGACTGTGCCAGTGCGAGGTCTCCCTTTTCTTAGGTTCATTTTGCTTCTGCCAACTCTGCTCTGTATCCTATTAAGTGCCATCCAATTAATTAGTTCTCCTTGTGATTAGGGGCTAGACTTTTCTGGGGTTCCATCCATTTGAACAAGTGGATAATAATTTCTTTATAACAAAACAAAGCAAAGCAAAGTGTGGTGCTTATATCAAGCTCCATAGCGCTTAAAGCACTCACTGGGTGGTTTACAACATAATTATGCAAGGAACACTTTGCCTTCCCCCACCCCCCCAGCAAGCTGGGTATCTGTTTTACAGACTTTGGAAGGATGGGAGGCTGAGTCAATCTCAAAGTAGCTACCTGGCCCCCATAAGATCAAATCCAGGTCAAGAACAGAGTCTTGACTGCAGTACTGCAGTTTAACTATTGTGCCACAAGGCTCCTGTAGTCCTGGCATTCTCCGGCGTTTCTTCAGATGCCACAGATGTTCTGAAGCCGTGATCCTTTTCAAAAACAGCAGAGCCATGAGCCAAATAATGCAGGCAGTGGAAGGGGATTTAAAACCAAATGCAAAAAGCCAGAAAGCCATACTAAGTCCAGTTCTTTCCCCAAAATTTAAGGAGAACA